AGTTTTCGTAAACGGCTTTACAGTCGTTGATGTCGGCGATGGGCACCTGTGCCTGATGTAACACATCGGTCCCGAAGAGGGCTGAGTTCCGTCGTTTACCCCAACCGAGTATTGTTCCCAAACTATTCACCGCCAGTTCGTCTTCAGGCTCTGGCAAACAAACCGGTGCCACAAAGCGATTGATTTTGAGCGGAGTTCGCAGCCGAAGAACAGCGATGTCGTTGTCCACAGTCTCGGCGTCGTAGTCCGGGTGCACGAAGATGTCCGACACTCGGATCTGTTGTTCGTAGCCGTCGGCGAATATCAGATCGTGTTCTCCGGCCCTCACATACAGACGTCTTCGCACGCAATGAGCTGTCAAATCAAGTTATGAATAAACTTTTTTTGATCACAATTTATAAAATGAATAAAAGATAAATTACCGGCAGTTATAATAAATTGAGGCGATATTATAGTTCCGCCGCAAAATGGCTCGTGATATCTGTTGAGGATGGAGACCATCCACGGCCACCGGCCTTTTGTCGACTCCCGGCCGCCAATTATACGCAAATTACTGGCCATATCTGTCATAACAGAACTGACGCCACACTGAAGATCGTCGATATGATCGGCTTTCGCCGCCTCTTCAGTGACAGAGGTATTCGTGTGGGTCTCAGCACTTGGGGCCGAATTGTTGGGCACATTCTTGCGCTTATTCTTGTATAGCTTTTCGCATTGACTGCCCTGAATATAGCAGAGGGCGTCCTCTTGTATGATACTATTGCCGCAGATTTGCTTCATTTCGCAGTTACGGGACCTCCGGGTGCGACACGCGTTAGTACACGACGACCACTCCGACCACTGAGAGTAGACATAACTCTGCAAATGGTAGAGCACTCGGAACTGTGAGGCCCGACCCCGACCTCTTTGCGGCACGTCTTGTTCCGGAGTGGATGTAGTCATCTCTTGGTTGATAAGACATTTACCTCCTCTACAGCCTCTCTCCTCTTTGAGAATAGTTGATCCGCAGTATTGATTGGACACACACTGTCGGGTGCGGACCTGTTTGCACCTTCGCCTGCATTTACTCCATTTAGACCATTCACTATAGATATCGTCGTAACTCAATGTCTC